TGGGAAATGTGCATGCTGGAAACTCGATGGGCGAGGTCATTTGAGGAGGTCGAGGTCACAGAGGTAGAGTGGTGTGAGAGAACGGGACGGGCTGGTGGGATGTAGATTTGCAATAGTAGCCGCCCGCTAACGTGTTGATTATCTGGACTCTTTTTGATTTCGAAACCAATCACGTCTTGAGATCCATTAGCTTTGCTCGTTCGACTTGGTTACTATTATGACACATACCTTTCGAGTGCAGGTTGAGTGTTTGAAGTGGTACATTAATGACACCCAAGGAGGCAGCGTCTGGTCTTCTGTTATATTTTGATGCGTCGAATATTTGAGCTGTGATGGTCGAATAAGGGAAACAGTGTCTGTGGAAGCGGGTGCACATATGATTAGCAAGAGTGGCGACGAGTGACAGGAGACCAACATGTCGAAAGACTCATTCCAGATCGGTGAGCAATCATTTTCGGCAGCTTTGGTGTGGTGTTGTTGCACCGATCCATTGGCATTGACTGAAACTCGCACGAAAGGATCTGGCTTTCTGAAAACATCCCTTTTGACTAAATCTGTGGCTGCAATCACTGTATAATAATCAGCGTCTAAGTATGGCTAGACGTTTCTACGTCGCCTGAAGCAGAATACCTACCAGATACTCGGACCTGCATTCTATGAGGAGCGCACGTCCAGTTGAAACAATACAAGAGATTAGACGACCATCTCTAGAGTAAAAGAAGGGAATTTTTCTTACGTTTGATACGTGGCCATCGTAAAAGTGGTCAGCGGCAAGTGCGAGGGGGGATGCACAGTGCACGGCGCGGCTTCATTAGAAATTGAGATCGACCACAAATTTGTTCCTTGCCAGCCTACATACCCATCCAGTGATATCAACCCTACTGTTCCATTTCACGTAACACAACCTCATCTCTGGAATCTCAACTCTATATCTTTTCCCAGTATATACACAATGAAAAAAGTTTCAAAAGAGGAACTCGACCCTTAGAAAATATTGCGAGTTTGGTGTTGATTCAGGCGATGCACGATCAAACGATGATCGGAATATGTTACTATCAATCACATCACTGGTTCTGCGTAGAAGGTTTTGAAGGGGACCAGCCACAGTCGCCGAGAAGGCACAGGCTCGAGCTGAGCTCACTGCTTTGCACCACCATACTTTGGCGCATTCATTTGCAAGTTTCCCCGAGCTTGGTCGTATTCACGCAAATTGGTGGACTCTTCTACACTCAGTCCACATTTGGAGCATCGTGGCTACAGCAAGGATGGAAAATTAGATTGAGATAGGAGGCAATCAGTGTTCACTCACATTCCCATTATCGTCAGTCTCCTCCACATTATTACATGACTTGCATGGAAGGCTATTGTCTTGGCTTTAGCGATGAGAATACAACTGGCGCCTCGGTACTCACGGAGTGCCTATCAACCATAATTAGTCGGTATAAACTTTCAGTATGAAATACTAACCTCCAACTCGATAAAGGGCTAGCGGCATATAGCACTGTTGGTGGGATTTAGAGTCTAATGGGGAGTTTAGGAATAAGCTGCTTGACTTACCGGACAGCACAGTATAGCGGTCAACCAATGACAACAGGTTACATCCCTGTGATCAAATCGATGCTTTCTAAGGGGTGAGGATGAGTTTTCTTGCCATTCATGTAACCCTTTCATCTTTTAGCTCACCCTCCTTCCGAGCAGGCATTAGGGTCGTCCGTCTTGCTCATAGTTTATAATAGCTGTATGTAGAACAGAAAAGAGTGTATCTGGTATAAAAATCGGAGGGTGGGTATGGTGAAGAAGAAGACGTCGTTTAGTTTGGCCCACTTTTGGTGTCCCTCCTATAAATGTGGATACAAGTAACTACGGTACCGTTTGCAGTCCGTCAGAGCTAACCCTAACAACCATTTGGATTAAGAATTTCCATGCACACCGGAAAACGCACGGAGACGGATGTAAACACTGCGGCCGTGTTCTTCGTACCCAGGAATTATCGAGTCAATAAACGGTCATATCTTTTGCTGGAGTCAATAATTGCGTTCCATTGGTCATATATTATTTATGGAATTTCTAACAGAGAGACTATTGCTCTACAAATTTTGATATGTTTTGGGTCAAGACCTTTTCCAGAGGCTCCGTTGGGGCCTCGCCAGACTTCGCCAAAATTTTAAATCACGTGATCGGTTTACTACGTGTGCGTTTGAAACGGACAAAAATATAAATGCAGAATAGGGACGTGGAACTTCGAAGCGAGGCTTGCCGGGGTGGCGTAGGGACGCCATTGGGGAAATTGAAAAAAAAAGTCCATGTTAACGAAATACAGCGAATTACATTTAATGATAACACAAGGAACGTGTGGCTCAGATAGTAGTGTATCTGATCAGCACAGCGAAGGAGATGGCGAGGGACCGAATGTGCCCCCGATGAAAAGTCCAAAGACAGTCACAAAAAGCGCGCTAATATTTCTAGGCATAGAATAATGGTACTAGGGTAGATTTTATTCGAATGGATTCGTCCGCCCAGCCTAGATATTTGTCAATAACGCCACTTTCCACAAACCGAAAGGAACGCACCTGATCTTGTCCTAATCGACCAGACTCCCTGCATCCACATATCCAGTCTGTCCACCATCTTCCTTCTTTAGCTTCTCTAGCCTCAAGTTCGTCATCATCTTGTATGTCGGCCTCGCTCCTTTCGTACAGCACCGGTGATGCTTTCCTCATAGGTGGTTGTGGAGGAGCCGTCACTTCTTCCGGAAGATCCAAGGGTCTCGGGGCAGGAAGATTACTCTTTGGGCGTTGTTTTGTTGGAGTGTGTTCGGTGGCACTATAAGAGGAGCTGGACGCCCGCAGGACCGGGCGGTCAGGGTACTCTGGATCCTTTGCCATTGTCTTGTCAAGGGACGGGGTTGGGGGATTGGAAGTTTCTTCCATCAAGGCCGCTTCTGGACTTTGAATAGGACTTTTGCTCCTGGACGCATAATCATAGGCAGAAGCCGGCCGCTCGTGCAGTAAGGAAGTGGGACTCCCATTTCTCGGTGTCGAGAATGGATTTTCAGACACGAGAGGCGTCGGAGACGATGGAGATCTTGACCTTATCGTCTCTTGTAAGCTGAGCGACGTGCTGCGACTTGGTTCCACTACATCACCATTCGCAGCCGCTCCTCCTCCACCGCTACTCCTTCGAGAAGGAATCGCTTCAAAGTTGACATCTTCATGCATTTTTTGCGCTCCTTTCCTCAGACTGGCTCGTCGTTGCGCACCATCCTTCCATAGCTTGCTTGCACGGCGCCCAACGTCCACCACGACAGAATTCCGCTGCGAGTTCGAGTTACGGTTCGCTTCTCTGGCCGCTTTTCTTCGTAAGCGTTCCTGTTCCTCCCAGCGCTTGAGCGTCTGCGGATTGGAATCAATAAGGCCCCGATGGGTGGACAGCACACGTCCAGCAATTAGAATACATTGTCAACACCAGGCCATGGAAGAGATGTAGTTAGCACAACAGGAAGACAAACTCGAGAATAATGAGAAATAAAATGTACCTCGCTGACGCGACGCTCTTCTATGTCATCGTCGCCCACGGGCGGGTAAGCACCACCACCCACGGTCTCGTTCTTGTCAATGAAGCCGTCATATTGATCCTGTTCTTCTTCCTGCAAATCATAGTTTCGAATCTCCTCTGCCTCATCCGTATGTATCGCTCTTCCTTTGCCTTTTTCATCTGCAGTGTATCGGCTAGTGTCGACATGGAGTTCGTCCAACGGGATTTCGGTAGCAGGATCGTCATCTGTCTTGGAGTCTGAGGGATCTATAAATGGTGATGCCGTTGTAGGGGTCGATTCAACGATCTTGCGCGTCGGTTTTGGAGGACTGCCGCTCATGTTGGGTGGGTTGAAAGGGTCCAACTTTGGAAGCCCAAAGTACGCCATCCGCCAACGTCAACCTTCCGGAGTACGCTCATGTCGGAGTTTCACGGAGTCGGCCTAATGTGCTACAAGCTTTAAAATCCAACATTATACGTTTGTTAAACGAGGAATAATTATGGTAATTTAATGCGCGAAAGAGATATGTTATGCAGAGGAAGGAAACCGGCTTCCAGAAAATCTGAATTATCAACCGTCCACGGCAAAGCTTACGCGCACAGCCTTGATCTCCTTTCGCTCGTCCCTCAACTTTTCCTTGATGCTTTCTACAGCTTCATATACTTGTACTCCAGTGAGGCCCTTTCTCAAGACCACGTCGACATCTACAAATACGGCAGAGCCAGACCGAACGGCCCGGATCGGTCCTATTGACTTGATGGTTGTTGAAAGGAGTGGCTCAAGTAAAGAGTGATATGTCTGGAGGGTGGTGGGTGCCACTGATGCATCTGTTAGTTCAAAGAGTGCTCCTTTGAATATTCGGAGACCAGATAGTAGTATTAAGAAGGCCACGACGAGTCCTAAACATTTATTTAGCATATTAAACCATGAACACAGAGAATACATACCACCCATAGGATCGACAGGCACGTCTTTCATTACCAGACTACCCAGGATCGCAACAACGGTCACGATAGAACCATAAGCATCTGAACGGTGGTGGAGCGCATTTGCCAGCAAGACACTCGAGTTTTGCTCCTCTGCCACTCGTTTGGTGACGCGGTAGAGGTACTCCTTGACCAGCATTCCAAAGAGTGGGAACAGCACCGCTGAAGGAGAGAGCAAATCTTCATCCCCAGCTGGTGCATGGTGAGAGTGAGAATGCCCGTGACCATGACCATGATCTGAATCGCTCGTCGCAAAGTACGAGAGTATGCTGACCAGCAATGGGGGTATTTGAGGATGCTTTGAGAGAGTGGAGGAGAGTGTCTCTGCTAAAACTCCCCAAGAATGTGCTCCAATTCCCAAACCTCCGAGAAGTAAGAAAATCGACATTGTGACCGTACCCAACGATTCGAATTTGCCATAACCGAGAGGGTACGAAGGTGACGGCGGCCTTTGGGATAAAATAACAGTGCCAAGAGTGACGATATCTGCCACTAGATCTATTTAAAGGTATCAGGTCGACGAACAGACGACGCAGGAGAGATAAAGATACGCACCACTCAGCGAGTGGCCGGCGTCTGCGATGAGTGCTGCGCTATTCAGGTACCTTTTAGGTCGCGTGAGCTTTTAACAGAGATACCGTGTCGGGTGAACTCTTACCAGCCCGCTGTACCTTTGAGCAAAGTCAATCCGACATTGGCACCCAGACCCATAAGAGTAACGCGACTTCCAGCATCACCTATATAGATTACAGTGAAAAGAAGAATACATGTCAGCTCTGACGCGCATTTCCCACTCCGTGAACGACTCACCCTTTCCCCGTAATGCATCGAGTAGCATCAAGGCTTCCTCGGTATGCTCACCGTCATCATCATCGTGATCATGACTGTGCGAGTGAGAATGAAGGTGTGAGGACGCTTTGCTGGTGTGTGCTTTTGCTTCATGGCTATGTCCATTCGTCTCTGCTTTTGATGTGCTGGTAGCGGATGCTCGCTTCGAAGCAGAACTACGCGTCCGTAAATCCGACATGATATCCTTTATCTATTCCACCAGTCGATTTGGAAGGAAAGAGAGATGGTGAGTTCGACGTGGCGAGGAGGAGAGTCGGAAAACGCGGGGTCGAAGCTAAGCTGCGGACGAACCATAAGCACGAAGGCATACTAGCCAACCCGTTGCTTCTCAACCAAAAATAATCCGCAGTAAGAGATACTAGAGGCTCGAGAGTGTTAAAAACTATTTCTTGCAATGCGGAGTTGATTCCCAGTATGGTAACCGATAACTTCTCCGGTGGGCACGCGCTAAGGGATAACCGTTCAGGTGATGGCCAAGCTAGAGTGGGGCATGTTATGCAGAGAATGCAGAATGTTTTTCAGGGTGATAATTGAGGATAGGTTCTCGAATTTCAGACGAACGTTGCTCAGGTTAGGCTACCACTCGCTGTCGAAAACGTCAATCAGGCTCGTGTGTCGGTTATCAATGCTTTATTGAATAACTCTAGTCGACAAATGGAATTTTTATCTCGAATAAAACGACTTGGAGGTCTACTGATATAGCATGATAGTGGTGGCTTGGGTCCTATTGGACCCACTAATCAGTGAATTGGGCCAAGGAGGAGATTTCGAGATAACCCGCTGCAGGAACGAGAATACAAAGCAATGATGTAATCTACAGGTATTCATAGTTGCCCTGGACCTGGAACGTCGTAATTCGCCGAGTAAAGCAAACCTCTACGTCATAAGCGAGTAAGGTCGCCAAGTTTTCATTCAGTCACGCAATCCCAGGCCTCGACGCTTACCCCTCGATAACCTGCAAATTTTCACGATTAAAAACCAGAATAATTTCTCGACAGTCTGTGCGACGTGTGAATAAGAATAGTGTTTCTCTGTGGCGAACGGCGAGAACGGTGTCTGTGCGTGGTGGCATGGACGAGCCGCTCTTCGGAAGATCGCACTTGAACCGGTTCAGCCGCTGAAGCCGATTTGGATAACTCTTAAACCTCCCCACATCCTCTCCCTCTCCTCTCACACCCCTCTCCTCCCTCTCAGATCTATCTAGAGGACCTCGCTCACGACGCGTCGTTGATATTCATCGCTGAGCTTGCCGCCCAATGTCCAAGGAGAAACTCAGCACGGGCCATGGCGAGCCAAGCCAGGACCCAACTCCCATGGAGGCTTCACCAA